TATGGTGTGGATATTCCTGGGTCAAAGGCTCTTATCTTGGGGTGATCCTCAGTAATATCTACATGGAACCCACACGTTACACTGTTCGGAAGTTTCGAGCTAATAAAGCTTCCCCTTAATTACTCGAAACGTGTTTTATCTATTGATAATAAGTAAGTTTTGTAACTGCTCATTTACAAACCATGTTGGTCCAATTCTTAGTTATGCATGCTTCGTCTGGGCTACTCGTGCAAAAGTTTGAGAAGGCAGTTGAGATTCTTTGTTACAAGCTGCCCAAAAACGGGGGTATTGCGTATGATATGTAATGCCTATGGTACATCGAATAGCCAAATTCGTAGAAGAGTTAAGAATAGAGAATCTTTGTGATTTTATTGCCGCCTCTCTAGGGCATTTTATGATAAACAGGAACTTTGGACAATCCTATGTTGTAACTATTGTTATGATCTAGAGACCCAATTTCAGTAAACGCCCAGGGCGATCCTAAATGTTAGTAATATGTAATTTTGTATTGTGATGCAAATGTGCCAGATTCTTTATTAATATTGTTCTTTTTTCTCCTGATTGATTTTGGTTTACTAGTGGCACTATGCGTCGCACTTCGTTTTGTTTCTCTTGTGTGTACATGTATTCTTCTGTGAAATGTTGTTAAAAAATTATTATGTGTGGATTAGTAATTAGGTACTAAGAAAAAAAATATGTATTAACTATTAGAAATGAAGTTAACTTTTACTCATTTTTATTTGCACATTCAGTATATTTCTATAATTCGAACTTTATCATGTTATTCGATAAGGGGTAGGGCTAAGGCCTTAGGAGCTTTAGGTAGGGCCGCATGTTCCTAAAACGTACTCGCCGTACCCCTTGCTGTGAGAGCTGCTTCGCTGCTATTGGTTAGAAGAATTTAGACGTAACGTAGAGCTTTCGACGTCATTTGTTTTGTCACGTGGTAGCCTTAGGTAGGGCTATGCAAGGAGGTCTATTCTAACCTCCTTGGGGCTATGGCGCTGAGGCACCCTGGTGGTTAAGCACCGCAGTTCAATGTTCAGATGAGATAACGCTCTTATAACCGAGTATTTAAATTTTTCTTGCAATAAAATTCCATAATAAATCAAACATAGTTATTTATAAATATCTTTATTAGATGAGGGTGCAATTTTGCAGATTTGCTTTCTTTTCTCATGCACTCAAGTAACTGTATTCACAACAGGCCTTAAAAAATTGAATTTGGCTTGTTCGTTAGACATGAGTAAGGAGGATATCTAAGAGTGCGGACATATTTTGGAGTTGTTACTCAATTTTTATTTTCTTAACATTCTTATTCGGCTCTCTCTTTTTATTTTTCAACCCTAGGTTTTATTTTTCGCCCTGCGGGTCAAAAGACTTAAGCGAGTGCAAATATAGTCATTTCATTTGTCTACTCTGTCTGTCTGTCTGACTTTCCTCTTTCGGCGTGCTTGTGAAGGTGTGATCGGGTATTTAGTAATAAATTTATATATTTAAAATACGTCAGATCAATAAGCGCTCTTAGCGTGAAGCAATTTATTTAAACTTTATTGATTTCTTGTAATAGTATTTAAAATTAAATATGGCTTTACACGTGCCCAGACCTCCCGGCATTTCACAGATGTTTAAAGAAGGCACAAAGGTTGTATCTTCTATTTCTGTCATAAATTTGCTTTGATGAAATGCTTTTATTAATTCTTATTCAAATTTTGTTTTAAAATAACGGCTTCATTTACATTTGTTTCAGAATTAATGCCGTGTTTATCTTTAGTACAAATTCCAATGGAATAAATTCGGATTCCTGTTGATTGAAGAATGTTTTGCATTTTGAGTACGTTGTAGACAATTACCGAGCCGAAAACGTGATTTTTAGTGCATGTAAATTCAAGTTGGCAGACAAAACAATATATTAACCATATGGTAGTAAAAATTCACATATAATAAGCATGTAGATGTAATACTAACCGTTTAAACATGATATACGAAAATAAATTTGTATTAAATTCAAGTTAGCACAGAAAAGAATTAATAAGCATTTATAACGGAAATTAAAATTCATTTAAAAATATAAATTAGTATTAATGTACTGAAATTAACCGGTTAAACGTGATAAAAAAAATTTTCTTAAATTCAGTTAACACAGAAAACAATATATTCCTAACACCAGCAGTGGTTTGCTAATTTTGATAACCATGGTGATGCATCAAACTACTGTCACCTTAGATAATCAATAATATTTTTTATTTTAATTTAATCATCTATTTATGTCACACCTGTCATTCTCTGAAAGGTTATTGTTAGAAAAGCATTAACAATATATTGTCTTGTTAAAATTTTATGCCTTTACTTTGGGTAAATCTATTAAGGTATGAGCCTACATACAAAGCACTTTTTTTTAAATACATAAACACTTTTTTTTTAACATACATGTTTTCGAGTAAGATGGGATATAAAACTATGAATTTAAATGGAATTTTATGGAATGTTTCATTAATTTTTCAATATGGGCAAATTTGGTAAAAATTTAGTGAAAAATTTTCATTATGCCAGATCTCCTAAAATAAAATTCTAATGAATATACTTCAATAATCTTTACACAGTATATAAATAACATACTTACCTGTGTTCTGTACCTGTGTTTTGAAATATTCAAAACTTGGTACAAAATCTCAAAACTAAAAAAAAAAAAAAAAAAAAAAAAATCATCTTTTCTTCAAAATACTGTCAATAAAATCAATCGGTGAATCTTCGTATTATGGTAACTTGGCAATTTTTTGGCGACCAACCCTGCTACAGCAACCTGCTAGATTTTTTTTTTTTTGGACGCCATTTTGTTTTCACGAAGTAAAGGCATGATTTTTTTTTTTACTCAAACATTTTTTCCAACAATCTGCTAGCCGAATTACGCTTATGCTAGAACTTTTAGGACAAAAGTGCTTAATCGTGACAAAGATTAGGTACAAAATTGGGAGAAAGTGCAGAATCGCCCACTGCTTCGCGTGTTTTTAAGAATTGTACATACGAGGTATCCATGACACGTGTCCTATTTTCACTTAAAAAATCATCTCTGAATGAAAAATGGGCATGCCACACTCTTGACTTTATCCATGTCCAATTGTTCCTGTTTCACTTAAAAAGTCAAGAAATTGACAAAATCTAATTCTTCTTACTCTTGTAAAAAGCGCCAAATAAGTGGACGATTCTGCACTAGCAGAGAAATTGTTTCTAAGTGCTTATTAGCTAAAATCACAATCGGAATTGTCCGGAAAATGTCGCATGACATGTCTCATGATCTCTCTTTTCTCTGAGACAAAATAATCTCTAATTCGAACTGTGTACTTCTCAGATTATTGCTAAAGTCCTACCTAGTAACCTTTATCGCCTTACCAAAATGTCGCCAAACTACCTGTTACCATACTCCAAAGATTAGCCAATCAATCAATAAATACGAACAGGTCAGATTTTGCTACAGAACACAGCTAAAGATGAATACAACATTTTGACAAAATTTCATTTCAATATTCTAAATACATTTGAGAAATTAACGTAATCGCAATCAAAAGTAACGAAAAACATAATTTCTCGGAAAATGCACTTGAAGATTTTAATACAGCACAAAAAATTTTGTAGTCACTTTAGACCTTTAAAACTCGCCGTATTTGTATGTTAGGCCCTCTTTTACTTCATTCTTAACAAATTTTAGACTTTCTTTTACCATTTTTCTGGTTAATTTTGTTGCCTGTCTATTTCTGAATTCGCTGTTTGTTTATTCCCATGTAACTTTCAAGCATAATGGGATTAATTTCTATTTCTATATACCTGAAAATAGGTAAAAGTCCTAAATATCCTGAATTAAATAATAATACAGCAATATGTGCACCTAAAAGCAAGGTTTTCAGTTGGACAAAAGTTTCTTTAGGTAAAATATACCTCAAAAGGTTATTAAAACACTCATTATTGTTTTGAGTCTTTCCATGTAGGCATTTTATCAGCAAAGTCTCACACAGTGAAAGATGTGTTGCTTGTGGTATGCATGGAGAAAATATAGTAAGGAAAATGTTTTTAAAAAAACCACCCTCGGTACACTTTTTTTGGCTGGTGTACAATGCCAAAAGTGTATGGGGTGAGTTTGTGCAATTCTCTGATGTTTTATAACCAAAAATATATAATTTTACATTCAGGAAACAAAAGGATTTCTTGGGAAAAGTAAAAATTGTATTACCAGTGTTTTGTGCTTTTTTGATTTTATTGATTGACTGCTCTTATATGGAATTCTTAGTGCAAAGTTGTTTTTAAAATAACTTTTTTTTTAACCAATTTAATTATATCGAACAGCAGAAAGAAAATATACGAAATTTCGGAACAGCTGTCATATACGGACTGGGGTAGCGAAAAATTTTTTGCCAAATATATTTGGTGAGAAACTCCACGATTTTATTTATCTAAATTTTTTGATTACATATCAAACTTACAAACCTAAAATGTGGAAAAACATGTTTTTTCGCATTTGCAAAAACAAGGTTGCCACTCTACGTGGAAAACGGGAAAAGTCAGGAAATTCGAAAAGGGACCAAAAAAGTCGGAATATTTTGGTCAAAATCATGAAAAGTCTAGGAATTTCATATGGCGACCCCCCACTCCCCCGATAAAAAGCGAGTTTTGCACCAACGTTGGAAGCAATCACTTTCTTGGGGAATTTTGTATCGCATGAGCGTCATTCGGGTAGTTGCCATAGAGCCAATTTTCGCAACTCTGATCAAATTGTCTTTTAGAAGGCAAAGCAGGTTTCCAGCAACTTTTGGGGTTTTTTTTTTCTGGTTCCCAGTAACCTCAAGAATGGAGAGACTCGCATTCTCGTATAAATCCAAAGAATGTCTGTGTAAAGAAGGAAAGGTTCCATAGACGTAAATGTAAATCAGTTTGCTGTTATGCCGCGAGAAAGCGGAGGGGAAAATTTGCCAAGGGATTTGGCGATGGAACCTAGCGCCGAGAATTTCTCCCTCCTTAATATGTACAGGAAATTGAGGAACACATTAAGAAGAAACATTCTTTGATTTTTCTTCTGTGACTTTTTGTGATAATTTAAACTTGAATTTTCATACTTTTTTACTCAAAATAACTAATCCATTAATTTGCTTGTGCGAAAAATATTTTCTTTTCCTTTGAAGTTTAAACAATAATCGATGTATGAACTCTTGACAAATGTGATCTTCAAACTTTGACGCCGGCTTTGAGCTTTGCTGACAGATATTTCTGGCATTTCCCTCTACGTTGGGACGGAGACACTCCTGTTGCAAAGTTTTTCTTATTAATATTACATATTCTTCATATAAAACAAAATCGCTTTAATCCTAGTATGTGGGACACATGGGATTTGGTGACATTACGATGAGCAGTAAACAGGTCATTTTGGCGTTGGATACAGTTTTTAAAATCGTGCCAAGGCCATAGCGTATACTAGTATTTTAACTTAAAATCTTTTAAACTTTTTTTAAATACTTTATTGTTTATTTTGTATTAAAATTAAATAAAAATAGTAATCGGTCATCTAGACTATTTGCCAAAATATCGTTTATTATTGCAATTCAATTTTTAATTTATTTTAATGCTAGACTATTTGCCAAAATATCGTTTATTATTGCAATTCAATTTTTAATTTATTTTAATGTTATTCATACCATTTAGTGTGGCTTCTCCTCTCTAAATTGATTTATTCTTAGTTAATAATACTTCGAAATTTCAACAATTTTCTCTGGCATAATCCTGAAACTAATTCTAGCAGTATGATGACATACTGTCACAAAATTTAATGCACATATTTTTGCTTATGTATGCTGCTAAATAAATATAAAATATCTGAATTGGTTTTAAAATATCATTTCTATCTTTCATTTAGCTGCAAAATGTCTGTAAAAAAAGATATTTTTTAATCCAGATTGGGCAGATTCTTATCTTATTATTCTTATCTTATTTGAATGATATTTGAGTGGCAACATTTTTGCCACTCAAATATCATTCATTATCTGAAGAACAACATTTTTGCTAAAACTCCAAAATAAAAAGAAATTTAGATAAGTAAAAGCGGGAAGTTTCTCACCAAAAATATTTGACAACAGATTTAAATGATGAAAGTTTAAAATTAGATGCTCCTGGCTTTTTTGGCGATTCTTTTTTGATGCCAAGATTGGCACTAGGAAGGCAAAACATCAAGATGCCCAGTACACAAAACCAAAATAAGAAGACAACAAATTGCACAAACTTGGTGTACATTTACACATTGATCTATTTTTACTTAAAAAAGAAAAATTAAAGACTTGCTCCAATTTGGCATTGCACACTACCTTGACTTTGTTCATGTACACATCAATCTATTTTCACTTAAAAACCAAGTTAAAACTATCATGATAACCAAAAATGGGGTTTCATCACCAAAATTGAACAAACTTTGTTGCCAATCTAAGAGGCACCCAATTCTACACTAGTGCTAAATGGCACTAGTGTAGAATTGGCACTAAAATAACAACAATAAATTCTGAACAATTTCAACACAAAATTAAAGCAAAGCAGCAATTTAAATAACTCTACAAATCTAAAACAATAATAATTAAAAAAATTCACTTTGCATTCAAAATAATTCCCAAAAAAGCAAAATATTAATTTCAAACAAAACTTGTAAGGCAGACATATCACATATATAATCCAATATACTTTCATTAATAAAACTAATATGCCAATCACTCGAAGCATGTGAACCAAAATGCTGTGACTTCGCTCTGTCAGACGTCTTTCTACGATTCAAAATTTCAGACATTATAATAAAAATTTTCTCTAAAGTCAAACTTACTGAAGAAGAACCAGGATATAAACCTCAAACTTCATTCAGAATCAATCACATTCTTTACCTTCAACAATTTTTCTGCAAATCTATCAGAAACAAAATTTTTCTTCCAAATCTTCATATCAAAGACTTCCTTCATGGAACTATACACCATTATTCAACACGTAACCAAAAAATGAACACAGCAAAATAAAACTACATTCCCCACAATGTTTCCATGAAAAAAGGCTTTCCATACAAACAAAATCTCAACTAAACCATCCAACACAAAGTTTTGCCACATTTGGCAACCACATGTATCCCGGGTTGTATATGACATCTTAGCCAAAATTTCTTAGCTAAGTCTGCTACTTCTAAAAATACTGATATGGCATACATTGGAAAGGGGGAATCTGAAGGCTTTCAGATTGTATGTTATGCTCAAAGGAGTTTTTTTTTTTTTTTTTTAAACGTTTTGTATACCTTATTATAAATTCATGTTCTTTACTCTTAAACCATAAAATTTAGTTCAACGGAGTATCATAAAAAATTTAAAAGAGCATATCTTTAGAATTTCTGATCCACAATCTCGTGCTCCGGAGATAGAAATACCCCCCTTCCCCGTAAAATGTTGCCATTGCTTGCTTTGAAATCGTTGAGTTCCTTAATCAAAAACTCATAAATGCTTTACAAAATATGAAATAGATATTAAAACAAATTCCAGATTCCAAATTTGGGATTCCACATGCCCATATTCGGGCGAGGACATACATTATTCAAAATTGGATAGCTCTAGATACCATTGTTTTATTACAGTGCGGGAAACATACGTACATTTATTCAGGTTCGTCATTATTTAATTTCTTTAAATGTACTAGAAGCCTCTAATATTTGGTGGCAACAATTTAAAAAGTGATTCACCATTTATAGTAAATGAGTGCAAAATGTCAGAACGAAAATGATAGCCCTTCTGGACAAATTGCCCCTTTAGGCTAAAAAACAAGATCTTATCTAGATCAGTTGGATAACATCTTATGTAAATGGCAGAATGCTGAGTAATCTGAAAGTAAACCTGTGACAGAATTATTGTTAGTAGAAACTAAGTAATTATTTCACTAAAAATGCATTCCCCCCCCCAAAAATCTTTGTTTTCAGGTGTTTCATAATTTTAAGATCATTCAAAGTATTTATATATCATTAAAGCAAGTAAAAGTGATGTATGAAATGTAAATAATGTACAGTTTGCATGGACATATATTAAGTGATCAACCTTCTTATAGAGTTAAATCATTTTTTCTTCAGCAACTATTTTCTAACTCTTCAGCAGATATTTATATGTACGTCAGTTATATTTATTTGTATATCTTATTTTAACAGCATTTTCATGGAGTTGAAGAAGCTATATGTCGAAATATTGAAGCATGTGTTCAGTTGGCAGATACTCTACGAACTACATATGGTCCATATGGTAAATATCCCTTATATTATATAGTTATCACTTTCTAAATAATTAGTAAATAGATAATATCTATTAATATCTTTTTTATTTACTTACTGAAAATATTGCAAATTATGTATGTTACTTTAAAGCTATGATGGGGAAGAAAATGAGTTCTTATATAATTTTCCGAATAGGATTTCAGTCATTTGTATTAGGACTGTGAATAAATATTTTATTAAATGTATTAAAAATAGCTGTAGCTATTGCTGGATGGATCACATCCAAGCGATGTAGCAAGAATATGAATTTAATTATTGGAACCTGGAATATTAGGACTCTCTATAGGAGTGGAGCATTGAGAAACTTGGCTGATAGTTTTGATGAGTTTAAAATTGATATCCTGGCATTGCAGGAAATTCACTGGACTGGCCCGTGAGATCTTTGAAAAGAGGAATTGTGTGTACTGCAGTTGTCAGGAAATCAACATCATTTTGGTACAGGGTTCATTGTAAGTAGGAGAATCATGTAATTGAATTTAAACCTGTTAATGAGAGAATTTGTAAGCTTAACCTGAGGGGTATGGCATTACAATATTATCATTGTTTGTGCTCATGTACCCACTGAGGATAAGGATAGCACTTAAAAAGGATATTTTTATGACCTTTTAGAAAGCATCTTTGATAGTTGTCCACAGAGTGATACAAAACTCCTGATTGGAGACTTTAATGCAAAAATTGGAAAAGACAGTACAATAAAACCATACATTGAATAACAGAGCTTATATCTCATAAGTAATACCAATGGAAGTTTTTTTTTTGATTAATTTTGCTGCTGCAAACAAATTGCATATTGGTGGCACAGTATTATCACCACAGGAATATACATAAGGCTATGTGGAGGTCACTAGATGGGAAGACTTGTAACCAAATCGAACGAATTCTTATTGACTTATTGACTCTTAGTGAAACAGGAAAAAGAAAATTTTCAAGATAACTATGTGAAAACATTTTTTGGTACTGAAGATTAAAATTAAAATCTTTGATGAAAAGCATCAGATTTTATTCAATATTAAAACTTCCTTAAAAAAACAGTTCAATGCATTGGAAGTTTTTCAACAATTTTGAAGAAAAATTGACACATTAATTATAGTTATTAAATGAAAATTTATTACTTTTTAAAATATGTATAGAAGTGTTAGCTTGCTTTATTTTTTGTTGTATCTTTATGTACATAATTATGTAATTTTCATAGGAAAAAAGTTAAATTCTTTTATCATATTCTTTATATTGTGTTTGAAAGAAACATGCATAAAAAATTGTATTTTTTCCTTTTTTTAAGGTATGAATAAACTTATCATAAATCATCTTGAAAAAATGTTTGTTACAAGTGATGCAGCTGTGATTTTAAATGAACTCGAAGTAAGCTTTATAATACTGAATTAGTTCAAAACTTCTTGTTTATTGTAATTTTTTCAACCAAGTAATCAAGAAATCCATTTGGTTTGAATCAAATATTGTATAATCTTAAAATATTACTTTTGTCTAGATACAACATCCAGCTGCCAAACTAGTTGTGTTTGCATCTGATATGCAAGAACGTGAAGTTGGAGATGGAACCAGTTTAGTTATTATCTTTGCTGGAGCTTTACTTAAAAATGCTGAGGAATTGATTCGAATGGTAAGATTTCGAAACATTACTATATTTACTATATTATACACAGCTTCCTTCAGTGTCATAAAGAATTAAATCTTATTCTGGAATGCCTAAAATATCTAAGAGAAAGTAGGAGAAAATTATGTAATGTAAATTTTAAACTACACAAGTACTGAAACATATTCTAGTTCAAAATTGCCTAGTGTATTAGATCTGGATTTATTGCATATATTGATGATTTTGTAATATGATGTAAAGTGAATATAGTGAATATGATGTAAAGTGAATATTAACTGATGGATAACTCAAAGATTTTACTCATGGATGAATGACAATTGTAATAATGCAAAAAGCAGTGCAACTAAGTCTCTTCAAGTAGGATCGAGTAATTAGGCCGAGACATCTAAGATGCAGAAAAGAAAATATGATGAAACATTTTCCCCTCTTTATTTTATTTTCAACAACCATCGTGGCAATGAGCAACCTCTTTAATTTGAAATAACATTTTTGCTGTGGTGAGCATGAAACCATCAAAATTAAAAAGCATCTTGAATTTAGTCGTCCATCATATTCATTATTTGTACACATAAATGAAAAAAATATTTCAATTGGCTGTTAAGTTTTCAAAGAAAGGAAAACAATATTTTGAGAAATTTATGACTTATCAAAAAATACTTATTCATGTCATGAAGTCTCATATCTGGTTGCTAAAAATGAAAAAAAATAAAAAAATTCACCGTTGGAGAAGATCTTGTATTACCTGCTGCTATAGAAATGGCAGAGAAATACTTCGAAGTAAATATGCCAAAAATATTTGACAAATTCCTTTATTGAACAGCAATGTGACCAAAAGAGTTCCTGAAATTAGTAGTAACTAAATTAAGCAACTTTTTTGACACAAGGCAACTTATATTACTAGCAAAATTTACAATTCATTTGGATGAAATAACTGTTATTTCAAAAATAGTTCAGTTATTCGTATATTTCAGATACTTTTAACAGGAAAGCATCAATGAAGAATTATTATTTTGTTGTTCTTTGAAAGAATATATTAAAGGAAAAGATATATATATACTGAAGTTTACAGATTTCTGTAAGCTGAAGGTATAGAATGGAAAAATAGCATTGGAGTGTGTTTAGATGGTGCAAAAGCAATGCAAGAAGAAAGTAATGTTTTTAAGTCATTTGTTAAAGTAAGATCATGTAACTTTTCTACATTACCTAATCCATCAAGAAAACCTCCCAACAACAAAAGGTTTTTATTAAAAAGGACAAGCATTTGGAAGAATAAGGTGGAAATTGATTCAGTCGAAATGTTTTTGACTATCAACAGTTTTATAACTGAAAAAATAATTGTAAAGATTCTTATTCTTAGATTAGTTGTTAGATTTCTTACCTATCACATAAAAGCTCTAGAAACATAGTTTTTCAAATGCTTAATACTTAAAAGATTATCTTTGATTCAAAAGCCACTCTAGATTGACATCAGTGAGATAATTCACCTGCCATCTAAAGCTTAGAGGAATTTATAGAGCTCTTGACTAGAATTATCAAATAAAGCACCAAGATTTAGTTCTTTATACAGAAAAAGATGAGCAGATCCATCTCATTAAAACATAATTAATTATTTAATGTAATAAATACTTGAAATAAACCCAGAATCTACTTCATTTATATGTCTACTGTTTACCGATGAAATGAATTATTTATGGGAAAATATGTATAATTTTATCTTTATTCTATATTTAGTATCTGGAGTGACGAAAAAACTTCTGATAAAAGGGGGTCATCAATTTAAAAAGTTTAAGAAACAGTGGTTTAAAACATTCATCTGATATGTCTCAGTATACATAGGGTTGGCACTATTCATTTTACCTCTTGATGCAGTCTCTGTGGGTCCTGAATTCTGATGCCCAGTGCCTGCCCTAAATTCTAAAAATTTACCATCCCTAACTTTCGTTGCTTGCCGTTTCAATAAATTCTAAAATTTCTGCCACATGGGCTTTAGCGACGGCTTCTGACCTTTAATCATTTCGTAGTTATTCTCAATACACATATTATTTTGACACGCATAAGACAAAATAAAATTAGCAGTTTCTAGCAGTGCATTTTAAAATGAAAAGGATACCTTTTGAGAAAGATAGTGATTACATAAAGAGAAAGAAAATTGTTCATCAAAGAATATAAACATGTTGAAACATTATGAAATTAGGAGATAAAGTAAACTTTGAAAAGATTCTAAAAAGAAGGAATTGATATATAAATTAGCTATAAAATTTCTGGAAAATTTTCAAATTAAGAATATGCATGAATATTTTGATATGTGTTATTGCTACAAAATATGTTCTGTAGCTTTTAATGTATAATTATCCTGATATTGTTTTAGAATCAGTGCCATAAATTATATATGTAATTATCTGTTATTTGTAAACTGTGGAATGTTCTTAGATTGGGATTTTAATAGTGCTTTATATTGAATACTTAAAAAAAAAAAAAGAATTATTAGTAATAATGTAAATCTGTAACAATTAAGGGTTAACTACCTAACTTAATTATTTGCAACTGATTGCTCACCTTCAGAAGTTCTCTCTACCTTTTAACGAAGTTTATTGTCTTTTTTTAATCCTTGGGGTGGATGAAAGGTATAACACAAATCGTAAAAATTAACATAAAACATATTCTTTAAAGCTCATGGGGGTTCAAAATAATATAAAACAACTTATCACATCTGGTGCTTCAACAACTTATGGGGACTTTATAGTATATTAACTGGATTATAACTCCAACAACTCTACACGACATGAAGAACATGACTATGACACTACTCTACATGACTATTACACTAACTGCAACGTCCAACTTTTAATGGTTACTTACTGCGCCAACATTGTCAGCAGCTCTCTTTCTTGGCAGGCAGCAGCAGTGACAACAGCCATCCTATTTTTTACATTTGCTATTTTGATTTTACTAATTTTAACCTATACCACTTGATATCAAATCTGCATAAGCCTCTGACTTAGCGAGTACTTGATAAAACAAGGCATAAAAGAAAAAATTAACTTAAAGCTTACTGTTTGTAAAACCTAAATAAAGTGTCACCAATCTTTAATATACACTGAAGTGACAAAAGTCATGGGATAGCAATATGCAAATATACAGATGGCAGTAGTATTGCGTAGAAAATGTATAAATGCGAAGTGCTTTGGCAGGGCTTTCATTTGTGTTCATGTGAAGAGGCTTTGACGTGATTATGGCCGCACGACGAGAATTAACAGACTTTGAACGTGGAATGGTAGTTGGAGCTAGACGCATAGGTCATCGGATATCATTAGGAAATTCAACATTCTGAGATCCACAGTGTCAAGAGTGTGCCAAGAGTATCTAATTTCAGGCATAATATGCCACCATGGACAGTGCAGTGGCCGACCACCTGCACTTAACGACCGAGACCAGCAACGTCTGCATAGAGTTGTCAATGTTCACAGACAAGGAACACTGTGTCAAATAACTGCAGAAATCAATGTGGGACGTACGAGAGAAGTGTTCGATAGGACAGTGCGACGAAATTTGTCATACTTGGGCTATGCAGCAGAACCGACTGGAGTGCCTTTACTGGACAGCACGGACATCACCTGCAGCGCTCTCGTGGCTCGTGAGCATATCGGTGTTCCCTAAACGAATGAAAAACAGTGGCTTGATCAGATGAGTCACGATTTCAGTTGGTAAGAGCTAATGGTAGGGTTCGAGTGTGGCGCAGACCCCATGAAGCCATGGATGCAAGTTGTCAACAAGGCACTGTTCAAGCTGGTGGTGGTTCCATAATGGTCTGGGCTGTTTTTACATTTCAGGAACTCGGTCCTCTGGTGCAACTGAACCGATCATTGCCAGGAAATGGATACCTTCAGCTACTTGGATATCACTTACAGCCATTAATGGACTTCACGTACTCTAACAACGATGGGATTTTTATGGATGACAATGCGCCATGTCACTGGGCCACAGTTGTTCGCAATTGGTTAGAGGAACATTCTGGACAATTCCAGCGAATGATCTGGCCACCTAGATCGCCCGACATGAATCCTATCGAACTTTATGGGACATCATCGAGAGGTTAGTTAATGCCCAAAACCCTGCACCATCAACACTTTCACAGTTATGGACATCTATAGAGGCAGCATGGCTCAATATAATACCTGCAGGGGACTTCCAACGACTTGTTGAGTCCATGCCACGTCGAGTTGCTGCACTTCACCAGGCAAAAGGAAGATCAACAAAATATTAGGAGGTATCCTATGACTTTTGTCACTTCAGTGTATGTAAGACTGTTATAAGTGTTAAATTTTACAAATTTGATTTTATATTTGAATTTGTTTTATAATTACTTTAAATATTAGCATTGTTTAATAATAATGCAGTGTACTTACACGTATGTTTTATTCTTTGAATGGTATTACAAGAGTAGATAATAGCTTTAATTTATTCATTTTCCATGTCCTTAGTTTTTTTCATTGAAAGTTTTTTTTTTTTTTTCTGTGCGCAGAAATGTGTACGAACCTTCTATGCATCAGATATAATTATTTGGCAAAATAATCAAGCTAACAGGCAATTGAGAAGATGAATCATTGTTCTCATCTGTTATTGTATTTATGTTTTTTCAGTATTTTTATTTAATTTTTCCCCCTAATTCATTTTAGGATATGTGATCAAACAGATCACAACAAAATTTTATTTTTGGCATTTTGTGTGTAATTTCAGATGTAGGACAATATTTTTCTACATATTTCGCCCTGTATAATAAATTAATTTCATTCACCCGTCAGTTTGTTTAAATATCTTTTCATTTTTGTCTTGGGTATATTGAATTATGTGTGCTATATATTTGCCATTCTGAATTTGGGTCATTTGAAGTATTACATGTTGTTAATTTGCAGGGATTGGCACCACCAGAAATTATCCATGGATATGAACTTGCTCTAGAAAGGACATTAGAGATTTTACCGAGTAAAAACAAAATTTTTCATATCTTCTGATTTTCTTAAATTTTCAGATTTACTTTGAGTACATATAAATATTTTTATTATCTTGCTGATGTATTTTACACACAATTTCATCATTTTAAATTTCTGATTATGCTTTTATATTTTGAAGAACTTTCATTTAAAAATTGTAGAGTGTTCCTGTGTTAGTGTAAATTTCTATCTTTGAATTATTTCATTATGCATTCCTTATATTTTTTATTATTGTGCAGATAAAATATTTTTTGGTGTCAGTCATCAAAATAGGATGTTAAAATACAATTAAAATATATGTAGTTTTATACCTCTCTTTGAACGGTTAATCTTTATAGCAGTATTAAGAAGAATGGTGATGGCCAAATTAATACCAGCAGGAGCAGCTTGTTAGAATTCAGGAAAACTGAAGAAATATTACAAAATAATCAAAGCAGTAAAATATTTTTAATAGAAATAAGTTTTAAGTAATTTAATTGAGATACTTTTGGGATTATTATTATTATTATAAATGTGAAGAAATAATTTTTGTTGTTTATATACTACATTGAGGAAATATATGTTCCCGTGTGACATGCAAATTTTAAAATTTTGCAGTATGCATTGAATTTTTTCGTAGAGAAAAATAAAAATGTTTTTTTTCTGGTTTTCCAAGGTTTTTCTCCTTTTATTTTGATAACAATTTTCAGCTGATTTTAATAAAAGTAAATTGAAAAAGAAGACATGGAAAGATTCTAATTAGGGAGGAACATAATGTAATGATTGACTAACAGGAGTGAAATTTGTTTTTCTTTACTGATACAGCAGAACATTTTGTGGGGAAACTCCAAATTTATTACACGAAATTTACTAAACTATCAGTTTATTAGTAATTTTACATAAAAAATTATAATTTAATTTTCCTATGCCACAAAGTATTTATCGAAATGTACTTAAATAATAACAAAAATATCTAAAAAAATTCCAATTTATATTTATTTTCTGTTTGAAATCTAAGGAATTATAAAAACTTTCTAAGCTTTCAAAGAAAATTTTCTTAGTAGGGCAAAAGCTTAATAAATTATAACAATATAGTCTCTCTTATTTATTAAATTTTTTCAATACATGAATAAAAATACGTGTGTTTATAGTAAATAATTATAAACTTCTTTAATTCTTCTTTAATTTTCTTTAATTCTAGCCTGATGCATAATGGCATTTCAGTTCTAGAAAACTTTTTAATCTTTGAGAGAAATTATTTTCATGGAATGTAGATGCTCATTGGCCAATTGGGTTCTTTTCTTATTAATTTCCATCTGTGAAAAAAAGCTGTTCGTATGTCACAGCTTGAAGAAAACTGTTATTTTTAATGCAAAATTTCATGACTGAGCTTATTATTTTTTAACAAGTAGGAATAAAAGTTAAAATCTGTATCGTAAAATCTTTGAATGCAATTTATATTGAATGCAAATTAGTTAGCTTCATTTATGAATTTTCTAGTACATTATTCATATTCATTTTTAATGAAAATATTATAAACTTGGACTTCAAATAACTAAAATTCTTACAAGGCCATACTTACAATAAATACATAATTGAATTGTTTTGAGGTCTCATGCAGCCCCCACATCATCAGTCTGAGACCACTGAAATTCATCGTTAATGCTGTATCTCGCTAGTATTTATGTGTTTTGCTAGCCTGAGAGCCTGTATCTGTTCTAAATATAGTGCTGCAGGAATAAGAAGTTGCACAAATAACATGACTTTTAATTACTTTAAATGATCTGTAGTTTGAAATTGTTGCATTACAAGGTAAATTAAAATAATAATTTCTTTTCTTTAAAGAGCAGACCCACTTGTAATGTGGAGTAATAAAATAACACTTGTTCAATACACAGTCATAATGGACGAAAGAACTGGGTGCAATTTGTGAACTGCTTCATTTTTAACATCACCTAAAACTAATGTTCTGCCAGTTTGACTGTAGTTGATTTTAATCAATCTTAGCATTTGAGATTATAGCTTGTTTGTAATTTATTGTACCCTCTGACTAGCATTTGAATGATTATTTTATTACAATTAATATTCTTAAGAAAAATTTTTGAAATGAATTAACTAACTATAATTTAAACTAAAATATTTGATGGTTTGAATATTTAAATTTTTATCATATCTTGCACGCTTTTCTTCCCCCCACCTTTAATAATATTTAGTAGTTTTGTTCCAAATTTAAATCTGTAATCTTCCAGTTTGGATGCTATTAATATAGCTATATTGCTAGTGGAGTTAATAGTTTAATTTAGGAGTATTTACTTTAGTTATTGAAAAGTTATGGAATTCTTATCTTTCTTAACTATCAGTGATAAGTTACTAAGTTAAAATTTGTTACCTATTGCTGATTTTTAACTTATACTACATTTAATAATTTATAAAGTTGGCATGTTAAGTTATGGATTATACTATGATTTTAGATCTTATGTGTACTGAGGTGAAAGATTGTTTAAATGAAGATGAAGTAGTGAAAGGAATAAGAGCATCTCTGATGAGTAAAGCATATGGAAATGAAGACTTCTTAGCTCGACTTATAGCAAAAGCATGCAGTAAGTGTGTGTGTATGTATAAATATAAATAAGCAATTTAATTAATTGCAATAAATTGCTTAATACTTGCATAATATAAAAGGAAATATGTTCTACTTATAGTTTTTATTGCTTTGGTTAACTTTTTTATTTTTATTGTTTATTTGGTATATTTTTATGAATATATCAATAGGTATAAATAGACTTTGTATTATGGAATTATGATTTGTCATTTTTAAAAATGTACCTTTCTATAGTTTTAGTGAAACCTGAACATACTACCTTCAATGTAGATAATGTTAGAGTTTGTAAAATTCTGGTAAGTTTCAATTTTTTTTCTTTCTTTCTTTTTAAAGCATAAAAATTAGAACTGAATTAGTAAAGCATCAGTGCAAATCTGTTAGCAAGTACTTTTTTTTTATTTTGTTTATCATTCTTTATAAGGAATGTAGGTCATTATTTTGTTTTTAGCTTAAAAATATATCTGGATATAAAAATATACTACTATAGTTTTGGTTTTAATTTTTTTTTATGACTGTTAGTGCTAATAGTTCAGTACTGTTGTATGTATGTATTGTGAATAACACCTTTATAGTTCAGTACACTAGCCTGCACAATTCCGTAGTTCAATCATATTAGCTTTGAATGTTTTTTTAAAGTCCGATTTTGGAATATTTACATCAATATTAATATCATTTTTAGTTGCATTCTTAACAAGCCAATCAGCTCTTCACCATATCCCATATCCTTATTTATTCATTTTTTTATCTCGTGTTTAACGAGGATAAGGGAATAAGGATATCGCCCATATCCTTATTCCCTTATCCTCGTTTCCATAATTACCCGAGTGACCATGAACAAAAACGCTGAAATACCCTTCTTCTGCAGATCTCCAAGAGACAGCTGTATATTAGCAATAATATCATTACATGATGAGGTATTTTTAAGGGACTCCAGGGAAGAGAGTGAATCTGTACAGATTAAGTAGCTAGAATCACGTCCATCCTGGCCTTAATTGCAAAATCCACTTAACCTTCTAAGTCGGTGGTACAGCAGTTAGATAATAAGATAAAGCTGGTAGTACAGCAGTTGTACCAGGAAAATGACTCTTTAATGCTGGCTGTTGTACAACTGTCATACCAGCCATCCCCTCCCTATTTTAGAGTAAATCGCCTATCTGTAGATCTCTGGGTGGTTCATTGTCTCTGCTCAGAATAATCGCTGGTTACGCATTGTTTCCCTCTTCTTATCAGTTTGGCTACATTTTGCCAAAAACTGCAGGTGTCATCTTGCGCCAATACACTTGAAAATCAAATAGAAGCTATCTCTTTCTCAAACGTTAGACCACTGTCTCATAATTTTAGTGCTAACTTTTTTAGTACTAACTTTTGCTATGATTAAAACGTCAGCGATTTTTCACACTGTTTAAGCTTACCAGATTTAATGCTTTTTAATCATAGCAAATAAAATTAGGTTAATATTTTAGATTTAATGCCCTTCTAGAAAACAGGTAAACCACTTTATCGTTTAGCTCCTTTTTATGCTTATGAATAATAAGATGCTATTTTTTACTCCTTTTTTTGGAGTGCATAAAACCCTCAAGAACTGTTGAGTCTTTCAAAATGCTTCTAGTATGCAAGCAATTTTGCCTGATTTATCAGGAGATAAATAAGAGAAAATTGCATGCATAATAGTTTTTGTGATTTTCATTCGTTTAATGATTGATTTCAATGATTTTCATTCATTGTAAATTAAATAAAATCAATATATCTTTAGACCCTCTTTTAGGATGACATCTGCCAAAAAGTATTTAAATATTATTAAAGCTTACGTAACTTCTAAATTGAATCGAAACATCAGCTACTTTGCATAAAATTTCGGCCAGTTTTATTTGCTGAAATTCTTATACTCCTGAAGAGATAAAGGGAATTCAGACACGTTAATAAAAAATTTATCTAAAAAAGGAGTGTTATTTTGTCTGTAATAAGGTGTATGTCAACTTACTGTTAAATGTATGAGAATTAGAATTGGGTTACAGAAAAGCACGCGAACGCTATCTGGGATGGATGCTTTCGTGTAAAACTTTTTAAGAGAAAATTACTCACATTTAAGTTGCTGATGGAAAACTTTACATGTAATCAATCCGTTCGCTTACTGAATTACATCAAAGCACACAACAATTACCTGTATAAGGGAAGGAATGCCTTTGCAGAGGACTTTCTAAGGGAAGCTGGCTTGTATTTATGTTACACAAAAACCATGAATCCAACCCTTTAGGTGGGATTCAAACCCGAGCGAGCTACAAGTGTTCAGCCACCTTTATCGCTCTACTGAAGGGCCTGTAAAAAAAAAGATAAAGAAAAAGTATTGAAATAACCGGTTTAATTTCTCAATCGACAGTACATAAATTAGGCATATGAGGGGATTATTTGTGAATAAATAAACTGTATTGTTTTTTCTCCTATTTAATATTACGATGGAATTATTGCATTTTGAAGTTATTTCTCATGAATTAATTTTGCTCCGTTCATGATTTTTTAATTTTTTCAAAGAGAAAATTTCACACTCTAAATAAAAAATACACAAGAAGATACTTTATGCAAAATTTAGCGTAAACAGGTTTCTTAATTTTGCTTTGAAAATATACCAGGGAAATCATTTTCATTACTGGAAGAAATGTGAAAAACAGATTTACTACATTATAAGTGTCAACACCCAGTATGCCTTATTCTTTTGAAAATGTGAAGTTTTCTTTTCTAAAATTAGAAAATATATTATGTGCAAATAAATATATTCGTTGAAAATGAAAAAGACTTCAACCTTTGGATATAACGATGGTTTTAGACGAAATTTCTGCCTATGAAAGGGAATTGACGTATAATTCTTCATGAACATTTAAAACTGTTTTTAAAAATACTTTTGATGATTGCATGTGTTGTAGAGACATTAGGTATATTTTTTGGAAGCCGAAGAGATGAAAAATTAGCAACCGCCTTCGCCGGGAATCGAATTGTGAACCTCTGGAAATACCGGCCCAGTGTGCAGAATCACTACACCAACCACGAAGGCACGCTAGGAAAGTGAGAGAAATACCTTATACATGCATAGGTCACAGATTTTTTTTTCTATGATAACATAAACAAAAGCCAATTTTACAAAAAAAAAATTCTCGTTAAAGATATACCTCCTTTGCCTAATAGTCCAATGTAATATTGTTAAAGTTAAGTGATGAAACGCAACCAATGTATCTCTGATTTTCTTTTTTTATAAATATTATTAATGAATTTATTATTATTTCATTAAATTAGTCATTACCATTATTTTGTTAATGAAAATGTTATTAAAAATCTCATTCCAACCTGCAGACTTACAAAGCTAGTTTGCATTTATTATATTTTGTAAAATGTTTTTCTCATTTTCTATTTTCTAACACAAAAGTATGCGAATATAAATGAAGTGTGAAAACAAAGTTAGAAAATTCACAAATTATTATCGAAACTGATCAGAAATAGTAAATGAAATATAAACATTGCATACATTTTGTTCTAAATAAATAGTGCACTGGATGCATTTCCAGAGCACTATTTATTTAGTACTTCATTTAGATGAAAGCAAAATAATCATAAAAAAATCGCAAATCTAGCAACCCATCTATTGTGGAACAGCATCTGACAAACATGTAAAATTTACTGCATCCATGGAGGGGACTAACGACTTTTCTCATTAGGAAAATGTCAAAGAGGGGGTGGGAAAGTGTTTTGGATTGTGCCAGTCTGAAGGCTATATTATGGCCAGGTTTTAGAAGGTTAATTGAAAAATTAATACAGAGAAGCTTAGAAATATAAACAGTACATTCATTTCTAATACGAAATTGGTGGTACTCAATTTCAACACTATGCCCAAAAATGATGTAAGCAAAACCAACTTTGTTATCAACTCTACTAACATCTGTATAGCACACAATTGAGAATGAATTTTCATCAATGTCCATACTATCCAGAATCTGTACTGGTTGTGTTACAGAAGAATGGGGAAGAACAGACAAAGGCAATAAACGATCAAATGAAAATTGGAGCCAGTGACCTTGAACCTCTAAATGTTATTGATTGCCCGAGCACATTTTCCACTTCACAGTAGCATGTGAATATAATCCCTATGATATCCGCTTTCTATCAAAATATTTAAATTCTTGCATATGTTGCTGAAGCATTATTTTTATAATATAAAAAGGAAACCCTAGCATTTAAAATTAGTTAAAATGAAAAAAATATCAGAATGCCAGCTGTATTCTCTTTAGAAATTACTGATGGGTTTATGTATCTAACAAATGAATTCATTAAAATTTCAGAAAGTTTTTTTCTCAATTTATATGTATAAGGAGCTTCTTGCAAATTAATATTTCCTGTTACAAAGACCAGTTTTCAGACATAATAAATACGATTTGGTGGAAGGTGATGGTAACATTTTTTTAACATTTTGCAATCTCATTCCTTCTTCTCACTGTTTTCTGGTTGATCACAAAAAAAAAAAAAAAAAAAAAAATTAATCGGAGCAGCCCATAGTTCCAGAACTCTTGTTACAATCTCTAAATGAGAAAGCTATTTTGTACTGCAGTTATTTCAAAATTTTATGAGGTTTTTGGTTCTATCCAAAAATGTTCGCAGTTTGAAGCTGTGCTTCCTTTTTTAACTTTTCATTAAATAAAATTATATAGCTATTAAATGTGTTTCCATTTCTAAACCAATAAATTTTTTAGTGATGCAAGAGACGGTGTGGAAAACCTTGAATTATTATATCTGTTTGATGTGTTTTGATAAATTGTTTACTGATTTTACAATATCAGCAACAGCACTTTCTCATTTTCACAATTGCAGGACTTGGCATGGCTCCTACTAAATATTTTTTTTATGCCAGAATCTAGAAACATTGTATTAAAAAGCTGTTTTGAATGGTCCGAAACTGAAATCATTAGACAATGTTGAATTAAAAATCAAACAAAATAGCATTTGGCTTTTATGGCATCAGTTTTATTGTCTTTGATGAAGAAATTTGTTCTTTATTTAAGTTTTACATTACTAATTTCTTTATGTTTTTGAGATGACAAAGCCATTTACTGTCATCTTTTCAGCCATGCACAGCTAAAAAATATTAGTTGCATACATTGAAGTGTGCATGATTCAAATTTCAGATGCTTTAATACATGGAAATTCTGTAGAATACGAGTCTTTAACAGGGTAACCACGCTACCTGGAAACCTGATAAACCGAGAAAAGTCAGGGAATTCAAAAACTGACTAAAAAAGCCAGGGAGCTTAAATATTTTAGGCAAAATCTGGAAAAGTCAGGATTTCATACTGTGATCCAAGAGCCAACGTTGCAAGCAATCACTTTCTTGGTGAATTATGTATTGCGTGAGCATCATTTGAGCTGCTTGCATAGAGCCAATTTTCGCAGCCCTAATCAAATTGTCTTTTAGCATGTTTCCAGGAATCTCAAGAATTGAGAGATTAACATGCACATGTTGAACGAAAGAAAATACCTTCCCATTCTTGTATAAAAGCCCCACCGGTAACCCAGCGGTAGTGTACCTGAACACTTGATAGTTCAGCCCAAGGTTCAAATCCAGCGAACAGGCTGATTGTATGGGCATTTTTGTGGTTTTCCCTATGTGTAATGTGTTAATACAAGCCAGTTCCTTTATAAAGTTCTCCACGAAAGCATCCCTCCCTTCTGTGTAGTGCCTTAAAGTGGAAAATGTAAAATAATAATAACTCTTCTGTAAAACAAAATCAGTTTAATCCTAGCATATGGTACAGATGGGATTTGGCCACATTATGATGAGCAGTAAACGGGTCATTTTGGTGTTGCCGACAACTTTTAAAATAGTGCCAAGGCTGTACCTTATACTAGGATTTTACCTCAAAATCTTTTAAACCTTTATTAATAAATGCCTTATTTATCATTTTGCAGTAAAGTAAAAAAAGAAAAAAGAAGAAGTAGTCTCTCATCTAGGCAAACCATTTAATATAGTTATATTCGCCAAAATATTGTTGGTCATTGTAATTCAGTTTTTAATCTTTAAGTAATTAACTTTGTTTTAATGTTATTTGTATCATTTAATGTTGCTTCTTCCTTCTACATTTATTTAATATTAGTTAATAAAATTTTCAAAGTTCAGGCAATTTCCTCCAGCATACTCCTAAAACTAATTCTAGCAGTATGATTACATACCATCACGAAATTTAATGCACATATGTTTTAATTATGTATGCTGTTAAATAAATGTAAAATACCTGAATTTATTTTAAGCTATCATTAAACAGATTTCTTTCTTTCGTTTAGCTGCAAAATATCTGCCCAGAAAGAGTCATTTTTAAATCCAGATTGGGAAGATTATAATCTCAATCTTCAGTGGAGAAAAAAACTCTTATTATAGTTATAATAGTAATGCTTTGGGGACAAGTCATATGTAATTGTCAAATTTTTGTGTTTCCAAGTGATACCATAATTAATTTATCTCTCAGCACAGCCAACGCGCACTACGCAGGTAGACTGAAATTTTCTTAAAACACACCTGGAAAAGTCAGGGAATTTCATTTTTCTTCTGTTTGAGAGGCAAACCTGCTTTAAATTTTTGACTACTCTTCAAAACCAGCAACACACTCAACACGATATATGATGTCACGAGCATTCAGCCAATCATCAGATGAATTAGTTTGTTCCACTTTGCCTACTGTTTTTCCTGCCCTTTTTTGTATAAAATCTGTAGTGTTTTACATAGCTCATACTTTTTCAGGAACATCCACAGAAACTATGGAGAATCTGTAGTAGTTGTAGTTCATGTGAATACTTTATAATTAGTTTGCTGTTATGTTCCATCAAAATTAATATATATTTTCTTGTGAAGGGCTCTGGAATTGATGCTTCTACAATTATTCAAGGTATGGTATTCAAGCGAATGGTTGAAGGAGATGTGCAAAAGGTGGAAAATGCAAAAGTTGCTGTCTACACCTGTCCTTTTGATTCTGCCCAAACTGAAACAAAGGCAAGTTGTGTAATTATGCTGTTAAATAATTTTAAGCATTATATATACATTTAAAGGATGAGAACTCCTTGGAATTTAAATAAGCCTCATGAATATGCAAATAACTGATTTGAAAGTTCCATAGCTGTGCATATGTCTAAGCAAATTTGAATTTATTGGGTAATTCATATTTTATGGTCTAATCTACTAAATATGTAAATTTCTAATATATGGATGTTATTTTTGTGTTAATGTAGAAAAACATGGGATAATCAGACAAGTAGTTATGCTAGCACTGATAAATAATAAGTTTTCATTTTAACATTTGTTGGACTTTTTTTAATATGATATTTTTCTTATTTTTTTTGAAAAATATTGCATTATCAGTAGAGAAACAATGTCATATCTTTAAAACTGCTAAATCTCTTTTGCCATATAATTATCAAGGTATACGGGGTGCATTATAAATTCACGCAAACTTCAAAAATTCATAATAAAAAAAGTAATGCTCTGGCTCGAATATGATCAGAAGGACATTAGATTTTTTCCCCTCTGTATTATAAAAAAGAATGATTCCAAAAGCAACCAAAAGAGGGGCTCACATGTCATACTAAGACATGTTATGCAAATCAGACAAACACAAATCTAAAGTGAGCCAGATCACAATAATATGACAGTAAACTGGGCATTTATTTTAAGTATTATCATTAAGTAAGAGATGTTCAATATGACCATCAACACAAGGTATTAGCAAGTGAGGCATGCCACTGAAGTTGAGTGTAGCATGTTCGCATCAATGCCACCAACCGTCTGTCGTATGGCATCATTCAGTTTCACCAAAGTGGCTGGGGAGCCCCAATACACATGAGATTTTAAGTATCCTCACAACCAAAAACCTGCCAAGGCCAGGTCTGTTAATCGTGATGGCCACTTACAACCTTTACTAGGTCTTCAGTGAAAGTTTCCTACAGGAAAGTCTTGACTTTATGTGGAGCTTTTGGAGCAGGGCACCATCCTGCGTGAAGGCCACAATATAGTCACAAAAAAGTGTAACATACCATTGTTCTACAATGACTGTACAGGTTTTCTAACCAGACGCAGGATAATACTTTTCCAAAAATAAAGATCCCAGAATGAAAGACATGAACCACATGAGGAGAATGCAGTGGGTTGGTCAGGTAGTCATGAGCATTTGATGTTGCCTAGATGCGACTGTTTGGGGTATTGATGTCACTTCGCAGTGAAAAGTGGGCTTCATCCATCCACATGATGTTCAGCAACCATTGTGGGCCCCATTCCATTTATGTTACTGTTCCTGTAAAAAAATTTTGTCTTTCATCTGTATATGCCGGTAATAAGTGGTGGAGTGGCTGTATTTTGTACTGATACAGGGTACAATGTATGTCTAATCAACAATTGTGGAGTCCCCGTTATTCTCCCACCTTCACTTCTCAAGAGTATTGCTCTCTTCATTGATATCTCAGATGTCAATTCTTTCATTATAATTTGTACAACATGAACATATTTTGCACTAGAAGATGTCTGTTTGTGGATGATCCTCCCACGTTTCCTCAAAATGTCGTACTAATTTCAGTTTCCCATTCAAGGAAATGGAGCTTTTTTTGCACCTCAACTCTTTTCCGTGCAAAACTTTCACAATGCAATACTCGTGGATTCACCATTCTTGTAGAAAAAATTAACCACCGATGTTCGATCTTGTAATGATAGTATGCTTCCTGCATTGAATGATGAATTCATTTCCATCCAGTTGTTTTATTCCTAGCCTGGTTTGCATGAAATATGTGAGTATGATATGTGAGGTCCTCTTTAGGTTACTTTGGGATGATTTTTTCTATACTTGGAAAAAAAAAATCCAATGTCCCTCTGATCATATTTGTGCAGACTGAATTTTTTCTGAGTATTATTTGTTTTATTATGAATTTTTGAACTTTGCTTGAATTAATGACGCACCCTGTATTTATGTATGGTTGGTTACTAAAAAATGTTCTTAAAAGAAGAATGCAAAAATTGTTATTTTCATGAGTGTGTGTAATGGAATTTTTAGTTTTTTTATCTTAGCAGATATTTGTTATGAAATTTTGTATTGATTATAGCATCATTTTGTATATGCGTTGTTATTTTCTCAGTGGGAAATATTTGCAATGAATGTAGGATTTACTGAAAATAATTAACTTAAAAATTATTACAAATTTAGGCAATCCTAAATTTAAGTCTGGGAAAATGGACATCAAAATTGGTTACACAAGAAAAGGAGGAGTAAAAGTGAATATTTTTTAAAAATCAACACTGGGAAGTGTGGCATCAGCAGAGTGAGAAACATGAGAAATAAAACATTTCAGAACTTGTACAGGAAGTGTCACCAAGGGTATTGATGTTTAGAGAAAGGAAATTCTGTACTTGCATTATGAAAGACAGGAGAAAAATTAATAAAAATGCTGGAAATAAACATTTATGTTGTGTTATTAATGACGATCTGTCATTTTGTGTTTACCTAGTTTTTATATTGCTTGTATGTGTAATTGATGGTTATTCACATTCTGTTTTTCAAAATTTGTATTATCTGCAAATGTTTTTAAAAAGTATAAAATGTATTTTTATTAAAATAGTATTGTTTTTAATAGGGTACAGTTTTGATCAAATCTGCAGATGAACTTCTAAATTATACCCGAGGTGAAGAAAATTTATTAGAAGAGGTTGGTTCTTAAAATATGCTGTGACAAATTTCTGCCAAAAATTTTATTGGAAAAGTCTAAAAATTATCAGTTGCATATTTTCTTTGTATATATATAATTTTCATTCTTACTTCATTTATATTTAACTTGAATGTTGAGGTTGCCAGCATATTTATTTTGCAGTTACAAATCCAAGAATTGTTTTTACTTTTGGGGAAAATAAGTAAATACTCTGCTGTTGGCCAAAAACATTTTGGTTATAGATTTAGTGCTTCTGTGCATAAGGGCCCCATTTTTTTTTTTTTTTTTTTTTTTGTTTGTGGTGTGTGTGTGTGTGTTCAGGGAGAAACGCTGTTAAACAGTTTTATTATTTGATACAGCTCAAAGCTCTTATTTCGATTTTCAACCCCTTTGGCCTCCTAGGGGCCCCTTTTCAACTTTCAGATAAATTTTGTTTTGCATCTAAAACGGCCCTTAGAATTATTTTCCCTCTCACCAACTGTGAAAATTTATTCTGAAAACAACCTATTTATATCCTAACCCAGAGGGCAAATTTCTCTCGTGCTCCCTAGTGTTTCATCCGAAATTAACAAAGACGATACCCTAAAGAATAAAAGCCTTCTTTTATTCTTTAGGATAATCAGCAGTTTTTTTTTTTTTTTTTTTTTTTTTTTATATTATTATTATTACACTAAGAGATGGACCTCAAGTGCATTTCTTTTTCCCGTATTTTTAAGTCAGCTTTCCCCTTGTGTGATCAGATCTTGTCACACAAAGGGAAGAAGGCGTGACCCCCGAATGACAAATTAGTTGTCAAACACCTCTTTTCATTTTCGCTGCATTCTAGGATTTTGGAAAGGGTGTCTTTCGGACCAAATATGCCACATTTAACCTTACAATTGAGTAATGTTTTGACACCAGATGACAATTTTAAAATCGATGAGTCTTTCTCCTGAGAAAGGGTAAAGTGCTGAAATTAAAATTTTAGCTAAACAGAAATGAATGAAACTTGAGTGGAGTAAACAAAGAACAAAAAGAAACTAATATACTTGTATTCAGTCCTAGCACAAGGTCAGCAAACTCCCCATCCCCTAATAAACATAATATTGAATCCTAAACAACTTGTAAATTAATCATAAAAAAATTATTACATCATTAACTGTTATAATATAAAGAAATTCTGTCATCTCGCAGAGTAGAAAAGGAAAAGACTGGTGTTGCCATTTATTGGCATGGTACCCTCAGTATGAGCACCGGTATATATTATATATGAATTTTAAATCGCATAAATAATCTTCTGTTAATTATCACTTCTGACTGTAATGAAATTGTAAGGATTATATTATATTATCTAACAGTTGAGTTAAACTTCCTTTCCGATAATTTCTGAATTTCAACTTACAACTTCTGGCCTGAAAGTAGTTTTACAATCACGTGTGAATGCAAATTGAGGAAGAGTGGTATTTAACCACGAAGTTCTGCTGTCTTAGAGAGAACCAGAGATTCTGGCTAGCACACATCTGCCTTTTTAGGCTACTCTCTACTCTGTTAAGCTATTGTTATGCTCGACCGTACTTTATGCCCTTGATAGCTTCGCAGTCAATTAGTGTTAAGGGGGCAACTCCGTTAGAAGTTTGATAGCTTCAGCTATATCATTTAAGTTAAGATTAGTTTAGTTCTTAGTCTCTTAAGTTCAAGCCCGAGTGTCTGCTTTATTGTATAACTCTAAGACGGAGTTCTGTTATACCTTATTGGAATAATAAAGGGTTATTTCACCCTTCTTACTTGTTGTTTCCTGTACCACGAACTTTTCCCCTCGGGGGTTGACTCTTGAGAATTCCTGGGAAGTACTGGCTAGGATTTGTTCTTAAACAGTCTCAACCACGAGGGTATAAAATCAGTCTTCACAGGCTGTACCTGAGTTTACTCAGGATAGTGTAGGCTGGGCAGGGACCGTACTGGTACTGTCACGTTTGCCTTGGGGTCGAAACATTGTAGATAAATAAGTTGGCAGCACAGCACTTAATTCCGATTGGCAATGTACCTTAGGACGGAAGTTGTCCCGTCACAAGAGTTGTACCACGAACTCAAGTGATTATTCACGTATCAGTTCTTAAGATTCTTCACATTCAACTGTAACTTTAAAATACACAGTACAGAATCTTACAAAGTAAATATATAAGATTCAGCATGTGTATGTCATATACAGTCAAAAGTCATTAATCCGGACTCATCGGGACTTCGGCAATTCCGGATTATAGATCATCAGTTTAAATCTGGTAAGATGGCATGCAGAAATTAAAATTAAAAATATGAAACCGTATTTATGAAATAAAGAACAATTATAATCTAAAGGGTATCAAATTTACAGTAAAAAAGCTAATATTTATTTGTTTACTTTATTAAACATTTCTTTCAATGTAAGTTTTTAAGTTGCTTCATTTTTTTTGAATATACTTTCTCTTAATTCTATAAACAGCAATTTCTTTGTTCAGTTACAAAGTTCCGCTGTTCAAGTCCTATAATTGCTGTGTCGAGAATACCGACTATTTGTCAAACGAAATTTTTTCGTTTCAGAATCCCGCTGTGACACTTTCTTCGCTATGGGAAGCGAATTATAATGATGAGGAATATATTAAATCATATCAAACGGAGTGCATCGAGATGAAATACTACATTTTTAAGGATTATAAGCCAAACAAAATAAAACATCTGTCTGCCTGAAGATAAGAATAGTGCTGACAGATCAACTTCCAATCCATTTGGCCCCCCCCCCCCCCCCCCCGCACAGCAGCTGAAATGAAAACAGATTTCGGAATGGTTACATATACAAAGGATGTATTTATCCATTTTTTGCAGCAATTCCACTTTTTGTTTAATGGACTTCGAAACATACTTTCGCTTTGTAGATCCTTTACATATTAGTAAATATATATCAGAAATTCTACATGACATAATCGAAAGTTCAAGCTTACTTTTATAAAATTGCTCTAACAGTCTGCAAAAATTAATAAGCCGGATCCAATTCGACGATTAAGAAATTATACCGTCCGTTACACATTAAACACGCATTTGTAAATGTATTTTGTGCATGCGCACACGCATATACGCAGCCGTAAAGATCTTCGCGACGCATGTGCAGAAAGTTTGTAGCTTTGAGGTCCGGATTATGGGTGTCCGAATTAACGACTTTTGACTGTATTTGCAGATTTTGAAATTTCTCTTCCCCTCCAATAGAATTTATGAATCTTCAAAAATTATACCTTAGAATGAGGTATATTAATTTTATAACTGCAAAATATTGAGTATTCATAGGGTAGTGCTGCCATTTAGAATCGAAAGAAAACACTAGAAACTTACCATTATAGCTTTTGGTGTAGAAAAATTAGTATTTTTCGGAGATTAAAAAATTGACAAACAACCAGTATATTTTATATACCGGTCGGTACCCTTTAAAGGGTTAAACTGAAGTATTGTCCCCCACCTTTTTTTTTTGGCTCTGTAAAGATTTTTATTTGTTCTAATAATCCCAAACTGAGTACATTATTAAGTAGTAAAGGAGAAATCGCATCTGTTCATTGCTGTACTACTGTACAATGTTTATATTAGAAAGCTATTTTTTAATTAGCGATTTTGCTGAGACTTGTTTCATTGTTTTGTGGATCTTAATTATACACTGATGTAGTTAATTTTATTGGCTATGAATGAGCTTCTTTGAAAATTTAATCTAATTTACTTTTATTTTTCAAGTAACATTAATTCAAAGAAAGATTTTACTGTGTGAAATGTGCTAAAGTAATTGTTGCAATTAAAAATGTGTATTTACCTCACTGTTCATTGTTTATTTCTTAAATATTAATTATATAGTTCATTGTTTATTTCTTTAAAATATTATTAATATTATGAAATTAAAATGGCATTTTCCAAAATAGTTTTATGAATATTTTTTCAGCAAATCAAAGCAATAGCAGATGCTGGTGCAAATGTTATAGTCTCAGGAGGAAAATTTGGTGATATGTCTCTTCATTATTTAAATAAATATGGAATAATGGCTGTTCGTTTACAGTCCAAGTTTGATGTTAGAAGGCTGTGCAAAACAGTTAATGCTGTTGCTCTTCCTAAGATGGTATGTCAGATTACTTTTTAACACTATTTAATAATTATCTATTTTCATTCCCATGTGTTAAAAATTTTTTAAATAAAGGTATATATGTATGTGTATATTGCATTTATTATAGTCCCTTTGTGACTAAGCTAAAAAAATTTTATCTTAAATAATTCATAGAAATTTGTTGTGAAAATATTTAATTTCTCTTGTGGAATAGTGGAGTGGCTTTGTAACAAATAATGCTATAAACATCTTTAAATTCTTTAAAAAGTTTTTTTATATTGCAAGGCAGGAAGCGAACGTCTTAAAGCGTTTGCTTTTTGGAGAAATTTTGTTCAAGTAATTTCATATTGTTACAGATATTAAGAGTGTAATATCCTTTGATGCAGTTAAACATTCCAATTATGTCCAGAATATTTTTATTAATAAGTTTGTTACTTTTTCTCCTAAATTTTTATTAGATTAAGTAATTCTGTGTTACTAAGCCATTAAGTACTTGAAATATTTAAGTATCAATAATGCATATTAAATTCTCAGAGACAAAAGACTGGTACTATTGGTTTTATATGCTTTTAAAGAGGATGGTTAAATAATAAAAATTTAATTTATTTAAACATTTGTATGTATATGTATGTATACATGGTGTTTCATAAGATCATGGGACAAACTTGAAGGAATGGTGGAGCGTACTAAAACATGCATTTTTTGTATAGAAATGTACGAGGGCCATCCAGGAAGTAGATTACGTTTCCGTCTGTGTCCGCTAGGGGCGGGGCTAGCGCGGCCATCTTGGGGTCAGAGCGTTGCGCAGCTCAGTCTGCATCTAGCCGTGCTAGTGAGAGGTTCGTGCTGTGCTCCGTTCAGATACTGTGACGGTTTGAAATGTCTGCGTTAATTGAAAATCCCGCGAGCTGCGAGGTGCGCTCAGTAATAAGGTTTCTGACTGCAAAAAACTGTAAACCGATAGAAATCTATCGGCAGCTTCGTGAAGTGTATGGGGACAACATTATCACTGAAGGTGGAGTGCGTCAGTTGGTCATAAGATTTCAAAATGGCCGAACCAATGTTTTCACGACGAAGATCGAAGTGGGAGACCCAGCATAGTGACCGCCGAACTTCTCGAAAAAGTCGATGCTAAAGTCCGTGAAAATCGAAATTTCACAATAACGGAACTTTCTTTGAGTTTTCCACAAATTTCGCGAAGTTTGTTGCACGAAATCATCAGCGAAAAGCTTGGTTACCACAAGTTTTGTGAAGATGGAAGGCAAAAGGTACACGAAGTGGTTGAAGGCGCAGGCGGCCGAATTTTTCGACGAAGGAATTTCCAAGCTCGTACATCGCTACGATAATGCCTTAATTTGTATGGTGACTATGTAGAAAAGTAGTATTTGAGTGTGGCTTTCATCTGTATATAATAAAATTTGTTTCCTATACTTTGTTTTTTTTTATTCCAAAACGTAATCTACTTTCTGGATAGCCCTCGTGTTCTAAAGTGACGGGTAAGGCAGAAATGGAAAAAAAAAAAAAAAAAAAAAAAAAGACACGAGAGGAAAATGTGTTTATGTTTTAAAATCAACGCAAAGGCTTCTTTGCAGCAAATACAGTATTCGCATAAATGTTCAAAAAGGGAACACTAACAGTAATAGGAATACAGCTGATTGCAGGCAAGGCAGTGGTAGAGGGGCGGGGTAGTGAGCCGGACAAACCACAATCCGATGCATGAGAGGATCATTGCACTGATGTCAAGCGTGATGGGTGAGTTACGCACA